AATCCCACATTTCGTAGAGAACCTGAACAGCCAACTTGAGAACTCTGTTCTACTTTTTTCAGAGTAAAGGCTTGAACTGAGTGTCTAGTATCCAAGGATGTTCTGATCCCTGATCCCAAAACCCATCATAATTATTGGACCAGAGGAAGAGAACACCACTGGAGCATTAGGTCCTTTCCTGCTAATCCAACATATGCTTGTGCTTGCTGAGATACAGCCCTATCATATAAATACCCTCTGTACTGTATTGTCATTCAGTGTCAGTGCTGACTACTGCGATACCTCAGATAAACAGTACCAAACTAGGGGTTTCAGGAGTTACTCGTAGAATTGTAGTCCACAGAAATGCAATCAATTCAGACATCTGGGATGGTAAACATATCAGAATTGGATGGCAAATTAACTGGAAATCAAAGATACCATCTAAAGTAATCGGCATTTTCTCATTGTATCAATACACATACACAACAAATGACTTCATATAATAAACTTCAGTATCCTGTGATTTTTGGGTAAGACTATCATTCAAGAAGCAACCTACAAATTAAAGACCCTCCTGAAGAAATACTGATGGCCACAGGATAGATAGCATATTACTAAAAGGTAGGAAAGCTTTGGAGTGTTCTTAAAAGCTGCTTTGACAGCTCTTCTCTGTCACAAAGACCTTTTTGAAGCTAAGTTATAGAAGACTGAAAGAATGTGAAACCACCTACGCATATGTTGGTGGACAACAGGTTGGCCATTAGCCAGCAGTGTGCCCTTGTGGCCAAAAAGGACAGTGGTATCCTGAGGTGCATTAAAAAGAGCATGGCCAGCAGGTCAAGAGAAGTAATCTTCCCCCTCTACTCTGCTCCAGTGAGGCCACACTTCAAATGCATCTGGTTCTGGGCTCCCCAGTTCAAAAAAAAGACAGGGATCTCCTAGAAGGAGTCCAGCAGATGGCCACAAAGATGATAAAGGACCTGGAGCATCTCCCTTATGAGGTAGAAGGCCTCATGGATGAGGCCAAACTCTCCTCAGTAGTGTATAGTGGATAGAACAAGGAGCAATGGCCTAAAACTTGAATACAGGAAATTCTGTGCAAACATGCAGAAGAACTTCTTTATAGTAAGGGTAATGGAGCACTGGAACAAGTTGCCCAGAAAGGTTGTGGAGTCTTCTATGGAGACATTCAAGACCCATGTGAATGCCTACTTGTGTGACCTGCTGTTGGAAACTTGCTTTAGCAGAGGGCTGGGACTCAAGCTCTGAGGTCCCTTCCAAGCCCTGAAATTCTGTGACAAGATGTTACCACAGCTTATCTAGCCATAGGACAGTCATTACATATAAGTCCAATGGCTCACTCCTTCTCTCAGATATTGATTCAAAGTCATTTGAGTTTTGGAGGGAAAAAAAAAGAGGGAAAAATCTCTAACCATCAGCATATAAAAAGGAAGACTTTTAGAGTACATAAGACCTACCTATTAGCTATGTAAAATATCAACTATTTAAATGCTGATTTATGCCTTTTAAGGTTTCGAAAGACTTTACATTTGGAGATGAGGCAAATGATCTTCACGCTACAGTTATAGAAGCTACTGTGTGATTAGAACTGCAACTACTCAGTGATTAGATTTACCAGATATGGATGTGTAACACATGATGCAGACCAGCATTTCAAGTGATCTTGTTCAATGCCTTCATTTAACTGAGTGAAGGTACAGTTCACTCTTATAATCATAATGTATGGTCACCACATCCAAGAGACATTTAGAGAATACATAGTGATTGTCCTGGATAACCTGGGGTTTCCTGCCTTCAAGTATAGGAGAAAAGAAGCCAAGAGGCTGTCCTTTTGCCATCACTTGCCTGTTGTAAGACACTGATACCCTACATGCAATTAAACAAATTAGAGTACAGAATAAGTAATCACAAGATTCTGTACAGGAAACACGGCCACAGTGGGAGATTGACATATATATGCCAGAGAGCATAGGAAAGTGAAATGTGAAACGCTAGAATAGCTTTGTTTCAATTTCCTTCCAAATAAATGTTTCAAGCCATTCGTATCAAAATATACTGACCATCTAATATTTTTTTTTCCTCTATTAATATTTCCCATTTCTCCTTATTTCACTTACATGATGATCAGATATCAACTACTTCTTCACTTAAAGTAAAACCCAAACAGTTCTTATGCTTTGTTTAACTCTATCTCCTTCAGCTCTGGGCTCTGACTTTCGATTTGGAGCCTAGGCAATGCCGGTCACAAGCTGTTACTGTTTGAGGCAATATTTCTACATACCTTTCAGCTCATTTAAACACCTGCAAGCCAGTCTGCCTCCCCGATAGTATTTGTTGTTCAGCAATCATCATACATGTAGAGACTTTGCTGCTGCATCCATCCATGTACAGTCACCCAATCTTAGGTAACAGCACAACACATTAAACTATACTTGCACAGGTTACATCTATAAAATTAATCCTGCTTGCTCCTAGACAGTTCATGCAAGCAGTGTGAAAAAAAACAAACTGCTTTGCTGCCCATGTTAATTTTGGATTTGCACATATGATCAGGCCACCTGTGACAGCTCTTGCAGTGCCAACAGTCTACAGCTCCCATTCACTTCAGTAGGAGAGATAGATGCTCAGCTTCACTATGCCTGTCAGGATTATTCTCCTACCTCCAGTACCTGTCCCTTACATCTCATGACAGAATTTATTCTAAAGTATAGGATGTCTTGTAGAGTGGGGACAGTCTCCTTTTTGAAGTCCTCCCAGACTATTTTTTAAGTTAACTGTTAAACAAGTATGACTTCAACTCCTTGCTACTTGTTTTTGTCTCCTCTCTTGTCAAGAGCGCCCTGGAAATCAGTATATTTTCCTCTTTCCCCACAGTAAGATTGCAAATGTGGGTGAGTTCAAAGCTTATCTCACACAAGTGTAAATTGCTGATAATGGAAATATCTGACCTGTTTGAATACATACTCATGTGAAAGATGATAATGTCCCTGCAATATCTATTTTTTTCTTTGGCAAAAGCCATGTATTATACTGCGTTCCAATTAAAAATAGCTCCTACTCTAGCCCTCCCTACAATATTCATTTCTGTATGCCTGCTTTTTCCCCCAAGGCAGATTACAAAGCTCTCAGCTAAAAAACTGAGCCTCACTGGGGAGGACTCCAGGATACTTAACAGGGCTTTCTGATGCTTCTATTGCTTGCTAAAAAAACACAGCCAGCTGTGTAAAGAGGTAATACCTCCTCACCTCTGGGAATCCAACTATCGCAGTTCCGCTTATGCTCATCACAAGTTCTGAAAACCCCAGGATAATCATGCAGCCTTTGGTACATTGAGTATGCCTTACATGATTGCAACTTGTGACAGTAGGTTCTTCTGGAAACAAGAGCTTTTCATTTCTAGCTGTCACATAACATGCAAGTGCCACAGCCCTGACCCCTCAATGAAGGACTCCCAGCACAAATGAACTGCTTAAAAATTAAATATCTTACAGGGCAGGCTGCAAAATGTCATGAAAATGCCTACAGAATTATGTTGGCAACTCTACATACTTAATTTGGGCGCAATAAGGAAATACTAAAGGTATTCAACAGATAGTAAAAGCATTAGTGAAATTAGTTCAAGTTAATAAAGAGACTTTCATTATCTGGGCAGAGTTCACTGTTGCTTTTTGTTACTGTAACAAGACAGCTTTCTTTGTTATTATTATGGAACAAAGACTGCTTCTGCAAAATAAAAAACTCTTCTGATCATTATGCAACTTCACATTAAGGTAAATATGTTTCTATGGAGAAAATATTGTGCATTAGAATAAGAGATTAAATAAGAGCACTGCAGTTTGAATAAGAAATGGGATAGTTAAGATTTAAGAAGCTCATTGGTGACTCTGAATCATGATTGTTGCAGAGTTATCCATTTGCTATCTATAATTTAACAGATTTTCTCTCCATTATAAAAGAACTATTTTCAAAGTAGTGGAGGTGGTTTCCATCCCCCCCCACTCCAGTGGAGCAGACCATTTGTTTGCATTCTACTCATCTTCTTAAATCATTCTGGTATTTCTTTAAACACTTAAGTAACTTCTATAGCCATTGCTTTGCAAAACAATAAGCCTTCTGCAGATGATTTGTGGAGACACCTCTACAGAGCCGAACATTCTAGAAAGGATTTGAAGCTGTCAAAAAAGGAGGAGGGAGCTGTAAGAAGTAACATGAAGCAGAGTTACCAAATCAGAAGTTACATAGAATACAGTAAGAAAAGAGGAAGATAAATGCTTGTGAATTTTTTGATAGTCACTCAACCCTAAGAACTTCCGTGGAAATGACATTATCAGATAACAAGAACACTCCATTGCAATGCCTTGAAATATCGTTGTTAGAGAGGGGGGAAAGATTACTGGGAAATAAATGCACTCATCTATAATCAACAGATACACTGGGTAATTAATAATTAAGTTACATACTGTTCATCAGCTAGAAATGGAAGGCTCCTGCATAATTTAAGTCCTCATTTAAGCATTATTGAATTTTCTGTTTGACATGCCTAATTTTCATCCAGTTATTCCAACTGCTTCCAAAGAGGAACATATCTTACTTAATTTGAGAGGACGTAGATTTCACATATTTACAAGCTGTCACATAGTTTCTTCCCTGAAATGCCATTGCTTGTTCACATTCACAGTTCTTCTAATCCTTTCCCCCCCAAATAAACTGCATCAGGGAGGCCCCTGCCATGGAAAAAAGGAACGCTGCACAAAACAGAACTGGAAGTTCATTTGAAAGAGACTTCATCATCATTTTTAAAAATACACCAGCAAGATGTGCCTTTGAGACATCAGGCTTTGCCTTGAACTGATGTATCTGAATTCCACATTGCATTCTCAGATCCTTTCATCAGACCTACCTGCAAAGATCCTCTACTTTATTTGGACAGGTCATACAATCAGTTTACTGCTACTTTCCAACTTAGACAAGCTCAATGAAGCCTTTTGTTCACTTACTCTGGAGATGGTCAAAGGCATGTTGAAGTCCTTGCCCCCTTGCAGTCGGAAGCCCCACGGTCCAGGTCCATTCAGAGTCACGCTGTAAGCCATTCTGTACCTTTCTCACAAGCCAGCTAGGCACTGCAGGATAGAAGGATGGGGCAGACAGAGAAAGTGTGAAAAAGTAGTATGAGAAGAGGGAAGAGTTTCATATAAATAAGCAAGTCTTTCTGCCTTGCCTGTTCAGTCGTGCTGGGATATCACCTAAGAATAGTTGGGAGCTATAATGCAGATGCTGATATCTCAGCTGAGTAGGGCCCATAAAAGGTTTGTAACCAGACACCTACTATGCAAAGACTTCATGACTCAGAGGTCTAATATAGCCCCCAGGGAGGGGGACAGATCTTTCTGGGCTTCTCAAACCCCTCTTCACATTCAATTAGTCCATGGGTGAAACACATTTTGAAATAAAATGAAGTCCCATGCTAAAATCCCAAACATCTAAATTTCACTACTGATTTGTTAAACAACAAGATAGCCAATTAGTTTCTGCTTCAGAACACATTGCAAAGCAATACATAACACACTACAAACAAGTTCCTACTATATGTAGCAGGAAGGGCACCAAAGGAGTGCTTATCTTACATGAATCTGTTAAATGCAAATTATATACTACACTCACTTGGAACCAAAAAAAAGAGTCCTTGATTTCATTATTGGCTCATGGTACCATAACTTAAGCTTACTAAAGGGGCAACTACATTTTTTTCTCTTAGAATGCAGATATTATGAATGATTTCTAAGCAGCATATAATCCACATAGCAAAAGCGTAGTTTCATCTCATAGCTGTCATACTGTTCTCAATACAACTTGTCTAAAGACATGGAAATTAAGTGGAAGGCTAAGAACGTAATCAGTTAGCTGTGTCCTAAACTCACTCCATAACTTTTCATATATTCTCTTCATGCTAGGTGTTTCATACAACCTTTGTAACTCGTTTGGAATATCAAATACATTTCAGCTCTGGATTGAAAGTAACTAGAGAATCTGAAGGAAGGGGAACTTCTAAACTGTTGGCAGAACTAAGATAAATGAAAAGCTTCTGCTCTTAGGATAAAGCTGTAATCTTTAATACCACTTTTAAGTCATTAATTTCTGCAGGATCTCCAGAGGTTCTCTAGTACACTTTCCACAGCATCCCTGCTTTTACCCACATATTACAAAGAAATTCCCATTATGTTAAGTTGAAAAATAAGCAAAGGCTCTGCTCTAATAACTAACCAAGACCTATGCACTAGCTCATTTGAACACTGATAGTAAGTCTGCCCATGCACCATTCTTAATGTCACAGAAAACTGATGGCTGAACTGCAGAGAACAAACACTGTCATGGCCTCTCTCCATCTGTGAAGTAGATCAATAATTCTTGCAAAGCCACAAGGCAGTAAGTGCTTGTTTTATATGAATACTGGCAGAAAAGACAACTATACAAGGGAATAATTATCCTCCACAAAGATGGAAGGACAAACAACATAACCACATTTTCAAATCCCAAATTCAATTTACAACAACATGACAGGTGCAGTGGGTTTGAGTGAAAGTTGTACTCAGTCAGTAGAACTGGCCCAAACCAAAAATCAAAGAAAACAGGAAGACAGATTGAAAGAAAACAGGTTGATGTCATACAAATACCTATCTATGCACATATTTATAGCTTTTGTTTTTTTTAACATTATCAACATTCATTGTTTATCTCTGTATGAGCCATAAGCAGTGATACTTAGATGATGATTTTGAGGGGAGAAAGAAAATATACTTTCTGCACTCTGAACCACAGAACTTCCAGGCTTGACAATAAATCTAGTAAGCCTCAAGTCACGTGCAGGATTTCTTTTTTTAATGTTTAATTTTGAAAGTACACAGACACGCATGAAAGAAGTTCCAGTTGCATTATTCCTTCCTTTTTCCCAGGAGTTCACTGCATTTTTCTACTATCTTTTCTTAGCTCAATTACAAAGGTTTGGGTGAGTGCAACAAAAATGAGAGTAAGCCAAACATGGCAAGTCATTTCTTCACTAACAAAGAGAATACCACAAAAAAAAAAAAAAAAAAAAAAAAGGAGAGGTTACGTTTTTATGGATGATCAATTCATTCCTATACTTAAACATTCACTGGGAAAAAATTGCAAAAGCTACAGCAGAATTAAACTGCACAGACAGCAAGCTGAACAACTAGGCATTAAGAAGTAGAATTGCTGTTTAATCAAACACTACGTACTTCTATCCTACTTTCACATGCATAACATGCCACCCACTTATCAGTTTAGGACATCTAAAAGGGTCTCTGAGGCCCTTCAGGCTGGGTAGCATGCTATGAAACTGAAGTGATAATCTCATTAGGGGTACTGCCATTTGAATGACATGTTAAACTGAGGTTTAACTCCTTTTCTACTTCCTTGGTTTCTGCTTGCACCCACATGAATATTCAGTACAGCTTGGAACCTGTATGAAGAAAAAGTAGGAGACACACCAGTGTCCTGCCCACTTTGCCCTTCAACAAAACAGGATGAAGTCCTTTCATTTGCTCACACTATTGGGTGCCTCTTGGAGAGTGTAACAATCAGAAAGATCAGTGCAGTGGAGTGGTGATAGAGGAGGTGTAATACAAAGGGACTAGCACAATGAAGTGTGTTTCAAAGAAAAATGGCTCACCCATATTTGAAGAGCTAGGCTCACAGGGAAGAATTCCACAAGGGACGGATCTCCAACCGAGAGCCATCCCCAGTGGCAGTCAGCCCTTAAATGAGGTCTAAGAGAGGTGCAGCCAGGCTCCACCCCTTCCAGTCCCACAGCTGAATTGCCTTCACCTGTGCTTCCAGGGCTGACCAGGTCCTTTCCCCAGGTGCTCAATCAGTGCTTCAGGACATGACTCAATAGTTATTGTTCACAGAGGCAAAAAGATTCCATTATTTTCTTCATAAGCCTTTCTAGGTCCTCAGTCTCCTGTGTTTGTTTCCCCTCTGCATGCCTGTGCCTGATTCTGGACAGCTGCAAGCAGTGAAGCAGCTCATGCTGCAGACACAACTCCATTTGCTGGGAATGCTCTTAGAGCTGCTCCCGTTCTTCTCCTGACTCCTACCACGGGCAGCCTCTAGACCAGAAAGCCAGTGGCCTGCCTAGATTATTATTTCAGTCCTGATCTGTTTTCAGAGGTGATACAGACAAATGCGCTCGCTAAGTCAAATATCCAGAACAAACACAGGGAAATGGACTGGAGCAGCAGATGCACTGCCATCACAGCTATCAGCACAAGCCTCCACAAAACCTTCTGGGAAACTTGCAGATGAAATAAGCTGTATATGCATGGTAGACTATCCTCTTGTTTTCAGAACCTTGTGGTGTTTGGATTAGGTTTATTTGCTTTAGATAGCCACTTCTCAGACTGTTCCAAAATCACTTTTCATTTACTCAGTTGAGTTTTATTACTCTTGGGGTGCCTTCTTCCCTATGTTCTCCATCTAGGTGAAAAATCTATGACAAGCATAGATCCCTCCCTTAAAGAAGCTACATGGAGTCAAATGAGGGCACCAATGTGAGGAGTGACATTTAAAGAAAAAACATTCCAGAAACCAGGTGACATTTTTCTCTCCAGATACCAAAAGAAGGATTTGTTCAGAGCTCACCAAGTCCCCTCAGAGTTGTTCCCATATGACTGATAGGAACAGCTGTGAGGAAGCTGGATGGGTACCAGGCACCATAGGTCCCAATGCCAACAGGTTCCATGCACATAAAAGAGTGCTCCAGACTTCCACAAATACCTCAGAGCCCAAGCACAGCCATCCTTCCACAGCTACGTCAGAGCTCATACACAGGCGGAAACAATTCACATATGCTAGGAGACCATGTTGCATTACAGTGAACAGGCTTTCTGAAAACTACACCTGCATGCTTGGAAGTGCACAGACATCAAGTGAATGAAATAAAAACCTCTAGTGCGAAAGCTAAATTAAGATGGAAGGAAACAAGTCATGGAAATTCCAACTGTTCAAGTTGCTACCACTTTGTTAGGCTGGCCACATTACTCATTATGTATTTTAGCTCCCGTGGTAGAGTGCCCTAATAGAGCCTTCAATTACTACTACTGCAGCAACAAGTTTTTATCATTTATATCATCTATTTGTAACATTTCAGTAGCAGATGGTTAGAATGTTTATCTGACATCTGATTTGCAACAGCCTGTGTTGCTTGACAATAAGTCAGGTGTTGAAATAGGTCTGATATATGCAGTCCTAGTGTTGTCCAGTATTTTTGTGCTGACTGTAAAACTCATGGAATAATGAGAAAGCAATTGCTGAATTTGGGTTCTCATCTTCACTCCAACCCATCAAACATAGAAACACATATGTACTATATATTGTCTAATCAGTACAAAAGAAATAAAACCATTTAGCTTCACCTAATTCTGCTTTGTTGCTATCTTTCCCATACTGGTGTTTGTAGGTCCCAACAGTACATGCACTGAGTGAGCATATGCTATAAAGTAGTATTCCCAGGGAGGTGAGCTAGAGAAATACGATGATGGAGTATTATTCCCCTTCTCTGTAATATAATGCCATCAGAAATGCAGGTCAAACCACTTTGTTTGGCTGTATGCTGCAGCATATATCACCTTACAGACTCACCAGGTTCCCCACTTTCTCACTACCAGGTCGTTCACTGTAAATGCTTTCATTACTAGAGAAAAATCACTTTTTACACTATTTTTGGGTGTTAAGTAGCCTCCTTTTTCTATCCCAAAAGACTGGATATACGTCATAGCATAGCCAACCTTCACCTTCAGAAGACTCTAATAGTTTCAGTAACTATGTTAAACTGCAAACCACTCCTGTGGGAAGAGAGAAAGAGAAAGGAAAGAAGCAGTCACACCTTTCTTCAGTATTTGCAGAGACCCCATTTATAAAACGACTTAAGGGTACATTACAAACTTTTCACCTTCACACCATCTCAGCTATGGTTTTCAAGGGCATCCACTATAACATGTAGTACTTAACACCTCTGTGGCACCTACTTCACCAAGATAACAAGATTTTCTTGTTTGTTTCTGACTTGTTTTAAAGAGAAAGAACACCAAAATACCTGCTGTTTCAGCAAACATGACCACCTCTTTCCTGTGGCTGGACTCACAGTGCTTAGGTTACCAGCTTCAGACCGTGAAATGAGTCAACAGCAATCGGATTAACATGCAGAGCTCATTTTCTAAGAGAAGTATTTGAACCAGAAAGAAGGCTGCAAAATGCTTTGCTGTTATGTGCGTGTCATTCTCCTCTAACTCTGGGCTGTGTGCGTGTCACTGTCCTCTAACTCTGGGCTGGCACCAGGAATGCTCACAGCCACCCTGCGACTGCGCTCGTTTGTACCTTGCTGCAGGGGATTCTAAGCGACGGGAGAAAAAGAAACAAAAAAGCCACTTAAAAAAAAAAACAAAAAACAAAACAGCAGATGCACAGGGAAAAAAAGGGTGAAAGGGGCTACGTGCAGATCGCTGACAGCTCCAGAGGGCAGGGACAGAGCTGACACTGATGTCACAGGACTTGCACGGCGCTGGCTGGCCTCCAGAGAGCCCGGGGCTTGGCACGGCACAGCGAACGCTCCACAAGGCTTCGACGACAGCTCCTGTACCGCTACTCCCGCCTGCACAGATACCTCACGAGTCGCCGCACAGCTGAGGCACGATGCGCCTGCAAAAGCGCACAGTGCCGCGAGGTTTAACCTTAAACTGTTCTCACCCCTAGAGTTAGACTCACCCACCCGCGTCTGTATCCCCACACAGCCTCCAGCGGGAAACACTTCCCCCTACAGCAGCTCTCCGCACAAACGGAGCTGTAGCAGAGCCGCTCGTGCTCCTCTTAGGGCGCCGGCGTCCCACAGCGGCGCGGCGCGACCCACCTGTGCCAGCCTCGGTGCTGCGAGCAGCACACCCGCTAACTCCGTGCGCTACGGAGCCGCCTCAGCGGCCCGCGGACGCTCCCGCTGCACCAGGAGGCAGCCCGAGGGCAGCCCTGCACCGCCCCTGAGGGGAAGGAGCGCTGTCGCCCAGGTGGGGCCTTAAAGCGGCCGCCGCAGCGCGTGGCTAGGGGATGGGGGACGTGGGCAGCGAGGGAGGCAGCCGCTGAGGAGTGCCCGACAAGCGTTCCTTTCTGCGCCCCAAAGATTTTAAATCCCAGTTTTTGAACTGAGATCGTCCCTCGGCTTTAGTGGCAGAGCAGCGAAGTGACACAAAGCCGTGTCGGGCCCCGGGGAGACAGTTACAAGGCACACACCCAGGTGCCCTCAGGGATGAGACGGCGGCCGGGAGGTGGGGAGCGTTCGGAGGGACACGGAACGTTCCGGAAGGCGGCAGCCCTGTTGGAAGGGGCGCTGTGGCGGCGGGGAGCCCGCGGCCCTCACCCGACAGGAGTCTGTCACGGAACGCCCCGGCCCCACGCGCCCGGCCTCGCGCTCTCTTTCAGCACCAGGGACAGGCGCTGCGCCCCGCCGGCCGGGCAGCGAGGGGAGTGTGGTGTGTGAGGCGGCGTGCTGATGGGGTAATTTTTTCTATCTCAGGTTAAGGAGGCGAAATCATCCTCATAACTTTTTTTTTAATTTATTTTTGGTCTCAACTATGATCTTCACGATGGTTACTCCAGAAAGAAGAATCACAGAATCATAGAATGGCTTGGGTTGAAAAGGGCCACCATGATCATCTAGTTTGAACCCCCTGCTGTATGCAGGGTCGCCAACCACCATACCAGGCTGCCCAAAGTCACACCACAGCTTTGTGCAGTGTTATGACTAATTTGCAGCAGGGGGAACGGGCTTATGCTAACAGCAGTTTGGTCAGTTTGTCTTCTAACAAAGAAGGCCATTTGTAAAGTGATTTTGAGATGGCTGTTTGTGACTGCTGTTGTCTCGAGCCATGGATAAACTGCAGTACTTTATTTATTGGATTGCTTGCTGTTGCACAGCTAGCAAGTCTAGTTACCATCATCCGCTAGATTATCTGTGGGACAGCAATGAAATTGTATGGTAAAATGTAAGTTTTACTCAAATCAATTTTTTCAAACTTTGTGTGTGTTTGACTAAGCACAGTAATGTGTAGTGGAAATGCTAAGTTAAGGCCTGAAGCAGTGATGGAGCACCTGGCAGGAAGGCAGGGCCAATCCAGGGGAGCTCAGGTGCACGCAATACTGCTGAGTGACCAGAAGGGGTGGAGCCAGGATCCACCCCTTACAGACCTCATTTAAGGGCTGGCAAGGGGGACGGTGCGTTGTTAGAGATTCCTATATATCTAAGGTCTTCTAAGAGTAAGCAGTTTTTTTCCTTGTACATTTTGTGCCTCGAGCTATTGTATTTGAGTGAATGTTTAGTTACTATGGTCTAGGATGTTATTGTCATTTCAATTACATTTCTGTGATGCTAACCAGTTTAGGTGCTGATGCTTTTGCACCTCACAATTTATCTGCATAGCGGATATTTTCAGGTGAAACTGTGCACTGAGGAGGTTTTCAATTAAGATACCATTTCACAGAATCAGAGTTGTTTGAGTTGGAAGTAACCCTTAAAGGTCACTTAGTTCATCCCTCCTGCAATGAACAGGGGATCATAATGTTAGTATAGTACAGCAAAAGGCTAGTATCTTTTTTCTCCTAAGAGGCATTTAAACCTGAAGAGCTTTTTCATTTTTTCAGCTCTGAGTAATGCATCATCTGAGTTCTTTTCTGAGTTGCATCAGAAGCCTCCATCTTGTGCATGTTAATAGTATTGCATTAAAGGCATGTGATCTCCTTTAGGAAGATTAGATGGAATAAACAAGGGCAGAACCTGATTTGACTTTCTGTGGTGTGTAATGAGGCACTCCCGTATGTCCTGTACTAATTTCATTATATGTTATATGCATTTAAAACAGTGTATATAACCTCAGTGCCATGTTTAAGAAGTAAGAATTGTGACTGTCAGAGATTTCATGCAGTGGGCCTGTGTTAATGAATTAAAGTGTGAAAATGTATGCTCAGTTATGCTTGGAGTTAGTCTTCACAGTACTAAATTCCTTATCAGGTTTCTTCCTAGAAGTCCTCTTTAAACAATAGAAGCTGCAAAATAGCAAGCAGATTTTCTGCAGATGAATGAATTTCATTAAGTAGCATAAATAGTGGCTTGAGTTGGAAAACACTTTCCATGTAGAGAGAAATTATCCTTATATGATGATTGAGAAAGTGGTTATCATTTAGATTATTCTGTTCTATGTGAGATAAAAAGAGTTGTGAAGACTAAGAGCATATATTTTAACCTCTGCCACACTTCAGCAATCTGAATTTCTACTCCCTAGAGCATGTTAGCTACAAATTGTCCTTTCACCCTGTTCTGACAAATAGCTGATCAGTTCTGCTTCAGTGTTTTTGTTTGAACCAGAGGGGATCTACTGGCTTGTTTGTTGCTCATTACATCAAATTAAGACCAGGGAATTTCAAAGTACAGGAATTCTGTCTGCACAGCACAAACATAAAAACCAGTTCCCAACAAATTTAAGAAAGAATTGGTTGTACTTAAGAGCCAGCTGAGTCTGGTCTTCAGGAAGGACAGAATCTCCTGTGCTGCACCTTCAGGATCGCCATTAGAAAACCAAAGAATGTGATGGCAGGCCCTCCTGTGCAGCGAATCCTATTTGGTTTCTTGAAAGTGGCTTACTGGTAGGTTTAGCTGTACCGTTTTCTCTGATGCTCTCTTGGTGTGATTGCTTTTGAGCCATGAGTTTGAGCCTGTGTAATTCCCTTTCCTGGGAAATTCTGATAGTTCTGCTGAGGGTTAGCTCTGGGTAAAGTGGCTCTCCCTTTGTAGCTTTAACCTTGTAAGATAGGTCAATTTTCACCATTATCAGCCATTCACCACTTTTGCAAAGCTCCTAATGTTACTAACACGCAAGAGCAAACAACAAAACAATCAAAACTCCAGCTGTTACATAGAGTTCAATGAAACATTCTTAATTGCAACCCATCATTAATTAAAATGTTGTCTTTTTTTCCAGTTTAGCTTAAAAATAATTTAAAAGGCTGTCTATATGGTAAACTTCCTGGACAATTCCTGTATTTACCTGAGCCATATTATTAGTATAACATTCCCAGAACAGGGTCAAAGCAGTGTTATGGCAGTGGATAATCCAATGGGGACTACTGGTTGGATGGACTCCAGCAAAAAAGCTTAACTCCTTATGTGGGCTGTTTTCCTGCTTGGGGAAAACACCTGGCTCAAAACGTCAGTGTTGTCTACACAATATCTACAAAGATTGTGGACATCTTTTAGATAAAAAAAGCTTAAATTCTTTTTCCATTTGCTCTGTTTACAGTCAGTTTATCAAGTAGACTTTGTGTTCTTCATTCCAGCTCACTATTCAACTGTAAATATTAAGTTATAAATGCATGCTATCTGCATGAGGGGGAAGGCATCGTGAATCTCCTCCCACCTGTTTCACTCATTATTTCTCTGCAGTTTTCAGTTGGAGGCTGAGTAATCCATCATTGCATCTTTTTTAGCACAGCCATTGCTAGCTCTCTAAGTATGGAAAAAAGTAATGGTTTAAACCTTTGTGCAAAACCTTGCTTTGCAGTACTTCAAGTGCAAATACTGTGCCTATTTATGGATAAACTCGAGTTCCTTGGTAACCTGATTTGCCAAGGTCACAGAGGGACTCAATGCCATACTCTTGCTCAGAGATTACTGCGAATTAGTGGTAGTTGAGTATCAACTTGTTCAGCTTGATTACTTGGTGCTTTGATTCGATGATTTGTTCAGTTGATCCTGATGATTTCTTGAAATGATTCTGATCTCTGAAGACAGGGTACACTTAGCTGAGGAAACCAAACCAGCTGACTTTTGTAAATATTGATTTAACTTAAGCACCACTTTTCCTTCAGAACTAAATAATTGTGAAAATGTTGACATACACATAATAAAAGCTTTAAAAATAATTCTTTTAAAACAGCTCTGTTACCTCTTGATTATCAAAATGAAGACCTACTCATCTACTCTAATGAACGTTTTGTTCTGTCATAGGTATGTTTACTGTCTCAGTGCAGTGTGTGATAAGGAATAGTGTATGGTAACTGTTGAATCATGGCCTGAATCACTGATTGAGCATCTGGAGAAAGGACCCAGTCAGCCCTGGGAGCACAGATGAAAGCAATTCAGCTGTGGGACTGGAAGGGGTGGAGCCTGGCTGCACCTCTCTTAGACCTCATTTAAGGGCTGACTGCCACGGGGGAAGGATCTCTGGTTGGAGATCCCACTGTTGTGGAGTGAACTTACATCTTTGGAGATGGGTGAGCATTCCTTTCCTGTTTATCTTTTTGCCATTCCACTCCTGTGTTGCCTTTCCACTGTGCTAATTTTTTGTCTGTAACAAACAGAATGACCAACACTTCACGAAAATTTTTCATCTAGCTGTAAACAGAACAGTTAAACTTGCTAAGCAGCTTTCCTTATAGTTCTGTACAAATAATTGTTTGGCTACTTGGGAGTTGTGGATAAAGATGATAATTTGAAAATAATCTTGGCAGCTGCTGGAGAATGACTGCAGGTAGATGGCCATGCCAAATGGTAGTATCCCAGTGCCTCACTTTTCAGGCATCAGGTTAAACAGTAGTGCCTCAAGAGGTAATCCAGAGTAAGTTACTAATGGAATAGTATGTATGTTAAAAGGGTAGTAAGACAACTAGTTTTAAACCTAAACATGGCAGTTTTCATTTAATATGAGACCTGCTCCTAAAGTAATTCCGCTTATTATGCTGGCCCGCAGCATCAGAGGTGGATGTTGGTGATAGGGCAGTAATGATGGAACCTTTCCATCAATATTAACTTGTGTTTTGTTGTTGTGAGGCAGATGGGCAATCTGACAAAATGATATCTCACATGGAAATACATATGAAGCCAAGGGGTGTTACTGAATTCCCCCAAGTGGGAAAAATGAACCCAGTGATAATCATTGATACTTTTTGAATGTTTATGGAGACCAAACTG